ACTGGTACAGGAGGAGATTGTCCCTCCTTTTCCCGGCAGAGCATCTGGTGGATTCGAACTGTGCGCCTCTGGGATTGTAGTTGCAGCTCCTTGCCAGTAGGCCACCAGAGCTCCCCCCATAATGGCACTCTTATAAAACAGGACTGACATGGGGATTGGGAGGAAACTAAAAAAAGAGGGGATAAATCATATACACTGAATTGGAACAGATGAGAGAAAGAACTGTTTAAAAGGAATATATGATTAGGTATTATTATTCATGACAACAGTCTAGAATAAGAGCTGTATAGCAAAGTGGACTGTGGGCGGGTAGGAAATTGTACAATGAAGAATTTTTTTTCAAAGAGAAAAAGCAACTGGGTGTGGGTTGGTGGGGGAAAATGTGCAACAATGAATGAATGGAAATCCAAAATTAAATTATTTCTTTTTCATCATTTTAAGTAATAAAATGTACAAAAGCATATTTAAGGACTGAAGGCTTGCTTATGAGGAATTTTGAATACATCTATAGGTCAAAGGGTAACACCTAATGAAGGCAACAAAACTAGGACTATAGAAACCAAAACCACACATCCACTGCGATTGAGTCCATTCTGAGTCATGACAACCCTTTATCAGGTTTCTGAGGCTGTAAATTTCAAGGAATGGAGACAGTCCAGTGGCTGATGGATACTAGCCTCCAACCTTCAGTTAGCTGATGAACGCTGAATGCACTACACCACCAAAGAGCTTTAGAAATATAAAGAAGAGTAGAATGTTTTAGGGGAGAGACAAGAGAAACCTTGAATTTGTTTTCTAATCTCCATCTTTGTTGTGTGACATTGAGATAGAACTGACTGACCCTTCAGGGCATTTTCTCAGAGGCTATAAATTGCTGGGTAGGAGATTACCTCCGGAGCAGCTGACAGGTTAGAAGACTGCCTCTGGGTTCACAACTCAACTTCTTACCCACAAGGCCACCAGATCTAAGGAGCATTTTAGGAGTTAATAAAACAACAAAGGAAAAGAAAAAAAAAATTAGAATTCTGTTCAATTTTAACTTTTAGCACTTAACAACCATGCTATCCTAGAAATAGTTATACTTGATCTCTCTCCACTTTTCTTTCTTTGTATTGTATAAAATACAGGCAATAAATTTACATATATAGACAGATATAGATATGTATCTTGTAGGATGTGTGTGCATGTGTGCATGCGTGTGTATGTATGGGGCGAGAAAGGGAAAGAATTGGCTAGACAATGTCATAGAACACTTGGCACAGTGCCAGACATGTTGTAAGTAGATGCCCAACAAATACTAGGCACTATTTTCATCCCCAGCAATAACCTTGACGGAGCCTTAATCCGTGCGTCTATGGAGTACTAAAGACAGATTCATAAAGCAAGAGATAAACTTGGCTTGGTCTTTTAGATGAGTGATGAAGGCATTCCAAAGCATGCGGCCATTTTTTTTAATGAAGGCAGCTTTAAACTGGACCTGAGAGGTATAAAGCCTTTCTTGTCTGCAAGCACAGTTTCCCCTCAGGTTCCTTGGTTTTAGCTTCAGTGGTTTAAAAGGCAAGGGAGAAGGAAGGGGTTAAGGCCCTTACTCATGTTACGTGAAGTAGCAGAAATTATCAGATGGAAACCAGCAATTGGGCGGGTGGACGGGAGGCTTTGTCATCGTTTATTGTTTCCTAAGCAAGACAGCTTGTACTTGCAATGATGATTTGGGTGTATGGTTTGGTAGTTTAATCAGATCAGAAGAACCAGGGACCGGAGGAGCGACAAAGCCTCGCGGCCGCTCCGGATAATTAAGGAGGCTCGGGCTGGGCTTGCCCCGGGTTGGAACAATGCTCTGAGCCACCGTCTCTAATTGGAGAACCGGGCGTCCCTTCACCGCGGAGACCCCGCCCCCGGCCCGGGGAGGCGGAGCCGCCCATGCTAATGAGCCGAGTTGCCAGGCGAGACAGGAACTTCATTCCCCTTCTCTGTGTCCGTCTTGCAGAAATTATGCCCCTTCTGTCACCATGAACTGGCTGACCAGTTCGCAGGGAGTTGTGCTGACTGCCTATCACCCCAGCGGCAAGGACCAGGCCGTGGGGGGGAGCCATGCCAAGGGAGGGGAGGAAGCCACCTCCAGGTAAGCCTGCTATGGAATGCCAGAACCAAACAAAACGCTGTTGGAGGCGCCAGGGGGAAAAGTGACAGGGAAGTTGGTCAGGGGAGAAAGGAACCACAGAGGCATGTAGAACCTGAACTCCCAGAGCATCCAGATGTAGGGCACGGCTTTTCTGGGTTCCTTTAGTCACCTTCTGTCCGGATCTGGAGTAGCCCTCATGATTGCTGTGAAGATGGGCACGAAGGAGCCAAGCGATACCGGAGCGAGCGGACTTGTTGCTTAGCAGGTGCACTTGCAAAATGCCGAAAGATCAAATGACTACAGTTGAAACACTTCCTAAGAGATGGAATTCTTGAATGGGCTCCGGGCACAGGCATTGGAACTGTTAGTTGGGAAAGCCTGCCAAAATGCAGGGAGGCGGCTCTCTGTACTGTACGAGTGTTGTTGTTGGAGCGGTGGTGGTTTTTATTGCTTGTTTTGTTTGTCTTTTTAAAAATTTCCTTTCTCTCTCTCTCTCTCTCTCTCTCTCTCTCTCTCTCTCTCTCTCTCTCTCTCCTTGAGGAAAACAAGCTTCTTAAGGCAAAAACCAACCAAACAATCAAAACCACCCCAAGATTCTGGCCTTTGAATAGATTTCACAACCTTGAGTGTGCGCACGTTTCTCCCTCTCTTTTTTAAAAAGGAGTTTTTGTCAGCTGAAAGGTGGTTAATGATAAATCATTTTATAAGCGCAGAGGGCAAGTGCCCCAGAGACCACTGAGGCGCAGAGTGCTTTTCTCTCTGTGTACTTTGTTCTGTTTCCCAAGGGCTTTCCCCCATTTCTTTCTCCCTTTAATGACCTTGCCATTAGCAGAGCAGCCTTATCTCCAATCTCAGATGGAAACTGTAAATGCTGACCTAGAAGCTTACAAAAGCCAGTGCTAGCCTAATAAAGAGCCTAGAACTATCCATAAGCATGCTTCCTCCTTGATGTTTAATGTGATAATAAAGCCTTCTTTGTTCTGATGTGACTATGTCTAAGCCTTAAAGTGAGAGAATGCCCTCTTTCACTTCGTTAATATATATATTAACAAATATTGAGGAATGACTGCAGTGTAAGGATAACCTGAACTTTTTTCTCACATAACCATGGTGGTATGTAGTCCCTGGAATTAATGCATTCCCAAAGCTGCAAGAGAATTAATGCTTATTCTTTAGATTAAACTAGTATGTTAATTTCTGTACTTGATAGGAGAGTTAGCATTATCCTATGGGGGGAAAAATAATAAAATGCATCCATTTTACTGTAGGTCAAGTGAAGTCAGAGTCACCCTTAAGCAGCGACAGCTTACTGATTGGTTTTCCACATGCTGGTAGAACTGTGCAAAGTCAGCGCATTCTCAAATGGCTTTAGGCTGGGTTGGGCTGAGCTGAATCTGGGATTTTAGTAATTTAGTAATTTGCAATCCCTATCTCTAATTTTCATGCTCAAGATTATGACTGCCTCTATAAGTCTGAGAGCTCTGGTGGCCCAGTGGATGGGGAATTCTAATCCGCTGAGGCTCTGGAGGAGAAAGAACAAGAAGTCTCCTCCCAATGATTTACAGCTGCTGAAAAAAACCTGCTCAAGGATCAGCTTTTGAGTTAGTTCCAACTGGAAAGGATGACTGGGCCGCAGTTCTCCGCCTCTGCCCTCAGGCTGCTTAGCCAGATCTGGGGACTCATTCTGACATTGCTGTTTGGCAGTTTGTTGTGGGTGTCTTGTGCTTGAGTGGGTTGAGAGAACAAAAGAAAGCAATAGATCAGGCTAATCCCATGCTAAAACCTGAAAAAGGGACATGCTGGGCAGCTGCTGCCCGTGTAATATTCTCCTGGGGGCTGTAGTATGAGGGTCTGCTCCTAAATGTGCCAATGCCTAAGCCCAGTTGTCTTGGAGTTGATTGAGCTTCATGACAATCCATGGATGTCAGTGGAGAACTACAGAAGAGTTGTCAGTGGCTGACTCTTTTTTAATAAGTAGACCATCACACCTTTCTTCTGAAGCATATCTAGGTGAATTCCAACTTCCCACCTTTTGATTAGCAGCCAAGCCTGTTAAAGATTTGCTCTACCTAGGAATTCTATTCTGGAAACAGTTATTTTATTTGACTTAGTAAGGTGGAGCTTGGTTTGGAAATGCCGGGGTAGGCATGGGGAAGGAGGAAAGATAGCACCTTAAACCAAAGCTAGTCATCAAGATAAACTTATCATTACTCTGGAGGAACTTTGTTTCATTTTGAGGGATTGTCACTGTTGGAAATGGAAGGAAGCAGAAGTTTGAGAGGCAGATGGGATCAGTTAGTGTGATTCTTGGAACCCTTGAGAGGACTTTGACTGGAAGCAGCCCTATAAATAACAGAATAAACACTTGCCCTGTCCTGGACCTCACTGTCCTCAGTTTCTGCCATGTTCAAGCCCATTGTTGTAGAGTCTCATTTTGGGTTTTCTATTTTTTACTAACACTATACATTTTTTGGTATCTTTTTGCCAATTCATTTCTGATAATTCAGCATGTTTTCAGAGGCTGTAAATAGCACAGAAAGTGATTGTTCATCTTACTCTGCCTGAGCAGCTGGCAGCCACCAGGTCTGTTGGCCTAGTGGTAAGGGATTGTGCTCCCAACGCAAAGGCATGCATTCGATTCTATCAGCTGCTTTGAGGAAGAAGCTTGGCTAGTTTCCTTCCATGCAATTACAGTCTCTGAAAATCTTCTGGAGGGTCATTTATGAATTAGTTCCAACTTGATGGGGCATACCAACTTTTCTCAGTATGATTTCTTTCTTTCCAAGGATTGTCACTCTTGACAACATGCCCAGAGTATATGAAGTAAAGTTTTACTTTTCACTAAGCAGCACCTTGGATGCAATTCCTCCAGACAGATATATTTGTTCTATTGATAGTCCATGGTCATTTGGTACTCTTCTCTTCTTGTTAGGTCTTCCATATTCATTATCCAGCTTTCAGATACATACAAACAATTGAAAATAGCATGGTTTCAGTCAGGTGCCCTGTAGTCTTTTAACAGAAACTCTTGTTCTCTGACATTTTAAGAAGATTCCTGATAGCATCTTTATCCAATGCAAAACATCTTTGATTTCCAAATAATGAAGGTTGGTGTTTGGGGGTGGGGATCTTTGACTTTGACTGGATTGGCCTGCTGGTGCTTATGCATTTGGCGGAGATGCTCTCCAAAGTGCAAGGTTCAGAGTTGAACCCTTTTTTAAAAAGCTCTTAATGTCAAACACAGCAACATTCTTAAAGGAGATAAAGATATACTTCTGTACTTTCACCTATTTCAAGGCAGCTGGATGAAGCTCAAGGGGCTCCAGTTCGCAATGGTTAGAGCTCAGCTGCTACCCAAAAGCTGAACACCAGTTACTCAGTGCTGGAAAGATAAGACAGGCTCCTTCCATAAAAGTTATAGTTTTGAAAATCCTATAGAAGAGTTCTGTCTTGCAGGATCCCATTAAATAGGAATTGCTGAGGCAGCAGTGTGTTTAGAGAAAGTGCCAAAGACTAATTTCATTTCTAGTCAGAATTTGTCCCTTCTACGTAATACATATGCTGAGTAAATAATCTGATAAATTGGACTTTATTATTAAGAAGAAGGCTTCAGGACTGGAAGAGTATTCATTAATAGCTGGGGAAGTAAAATCACTGTTTGTACTGTGTGACCTCAGTCATGTTATTTTTAGTCTTCTTATATGCATATGAGAGAGCTCTGGGCGCAAGCACTGGTGGCTAGTGGAACACTGTAATTCCAAAGGGACACAGTTTGGACACACCAGCTGCTCCATGGGAGAAGGATGAGCAGTCTCCTCCTGTGGGATTAACTTCTTCTGAAAACCCACTGGAGGGTTAGCTGTAAGTTGGTCCTGACCTGATGGCAAGTAACAACATAGCATGCAAAAGCTGGGCGGTACACAAGATGTGCAAGTGTACAAAGATCTAGAATTGATATCTTTGGATTATGACGTGGGTGAAGAATATTGAGTATGTCCTGGATTGCCAGAAGAATGGACAAATCTATCTTGGAAGAGAAAAATCAGAATATTCCTTGGAAGCAAGAATGAAAATATTTTGAGCCTGTTTATCAGGAAGGATCATTCCCTGGAGAAGGACGGCATGCTTGGAGGTCAGTGAAAAAAAGGAAGAGTCTCAGTAAGATGTCTTGACACAGTGACTACAACTATGGGCTCAAAGGCATCCATGACTTGGGCAATGTTTCTTCTTCCTGTTCCACACACGGTCAGGGTGAGTCAGAGCTGATTTAAGTAATCTCTTAAAGTTCCTTTTGTATCATTGCTTTATCCCTCTTTATCACAACACATTCACTGGATGCTTAAGGAATTCCTCCTCCTTGACACTGCTGTGTGGAGCTGATTCCTAGTAAAAGTAGGCTGCCTTCAGGTCTCTGAGGCTGTAAATCTTCACAGGAGAAGACTGCCTTTCTTTCTCCTAAGGACTGACTAGTGGATTTGAACTGTGGACGGTAGGTATACCAGCCTGATGCATTATACACTATGTAATCATTGCATTATCTTTCTTTATCTAGACACACTTGATGAATGTCAGATTAAGGCATCCCTCCATCTCCTGTTTAGAACAGTTCAACTATTTGCTGAATCACAGTGTAATGTCTTGTGGCATTTTTTGTTTGTTTTCTTTTTTTCTGAAGGGGAGTAGTTAGGGTGGGGCAGGTAATGTTTCCTCCTCAACTCATCAGGTTCTGAAGAAGTATGTTAACATTAGTTGCTGGCTGACTTGTAAATGTTCGTAAGGAAATATCTTTTTATTTTTACATCCTTACCCTGAGTGTCCATTCTTCTAATTGGCATAGCACTGGTTTGTCTATTTGCTGTACAGAGGTAATTTGTGGTTGCTGTGATGCTAAACACTGACACTGATGTGTCAAATGTGATAATGGCTACCCATGACGGACAGTGTTTGGTGGAGCTTCCCGATTAAAACAAGCTTTGGAAAAAAAACAAAAAAAACCCCAA